ATTGAAGGTTTGTGGCAACCCTGCATTGAGCAAGTCTTTCAGTGCCATTTTTCCAACAGCACGTGCTTACTTGATTAACATTCTTTAGTAATGAAGTATTTTTAAGGTATGTACCCCTTTTGCATACCTTAATAAGCTACTGCACACTTAATAGACTACAGTATCCTGTAAACATAACTTCTATATGCGCTGGGAAACCAAAAAATTTGTGTAACTCATTTTATTGCAATATTCGGTTTGTTGCAGTGGTTAGGAACTGAACCTGCAATATCTCTCAGGTATGCCTGTATAGAAAGCCCTACAGACTCCATCAAACACCATTAGATCTAATAAACAAATTTAGTAAAGTTGCAGGATGCAAAATTAACATGCAAAACTCGGTTGTTCCTATGCACTAATAGTGAAGTATTTGAAAAATATATTTTAAAAATCCCATTACAATAGACTGAAGCTTGTGTTCCCCCACCCAAATTCATATGTTGAAACCCTAACCTCCAATGTGCTGGTCTTAAGAGATGGGTCTTTATGGTAGTGATTAGGATTAAAATCGACCATCTCTTGAATCTGACTCCTCTGCCAGCTAGATGCTCACTGAGTCTGGTAATACTACTACTGTTATAACCTAAATTTCTATTTTCAAGTCTACTGAAAGGAAGCACACAACTTTAGAATTTTAACCTTTAATGTCTGCAATACTCTATGCTAATGCTTTTTTAAAATGTTCTAATTTTAAGCCATTTCTAGTATGTGTCTTATAAAATTCTATTTTTTTTCATATCAATTATTGGCTTTTGCAGATCCAAATCTCCATTTGAATATTGAGGAATCAAACCAAGAGTTTATGGCAAAAAGTGAAGAACTCTACGACTCCCTCATGAATTGCCACTGGCAGCCTCTGGATACAGTTTACTCTAAAATCCCAGATGAGACCCCAAAGTGAGGCAAGGTATTCGTTAAGCTCCCCAACTTTCATATTAATTGTATCCAAAGAGGAAAAAAGTAATTCTTCCAGGAATATACTGGATTCTGTATGTAAATACCAACTTCCAGAACTTAAATGTGGTTGACATAACAGAACATTACGTAAATAAACTTTAGTGGCACATATGTCCCTGGAAGTGTGTTATATTAAGTAAGTGCTGGAAGAGTTCACATGGCTGTTGTGGTAGAACACGCTGCACTGTCAGAGATTTGAAAATGGGTTTAAAGAGGCGGGCTGGAGCTGAACTGATTGCAGCATCAGCTACTCTGATGTGATTTGCTGCTTTCCTCTAACTTCAAATGCTCATGGAGAGAAAGTGTATCCACTGACAATGCAAGGTTTCTTGCCTGTATCTTGTCTAGAAAGTGTAGGTTAGCACTAGACGTTTGTCCTTTTCCTGACCCTATGAGAGTGTTGGATGTGACTGGAGACTCAATTGAACAGAAAGATTCCTAAGCAGGAAAAAAGTTCGCTTCATCCAAACACCCTGT